AACGTGTGAAAGGGAGACGCGTGGGGAAACGTACAGGAATGTATTTTGGGGAGATGGGACTTTTTAACCCGTACGTGCAGGACTGCATTTACGGAGCGTGCCAGCGCATACGCGCAGCTCGTGAGCAGCTATAGTTTCTAGCTGAGGAGGTATGTGTTTGGGGGCAACGTGTGCTTTCCCTGCACGGAGGCATGATCGCACGTAGGTGTGAGTGTCGGGGGGGGGGCGTTTGGGAAGGGGGGGGGACCCTTTGTGTGGGGGGCTGATCTATTTGTCGGGGGGGTTATTTTTCTTGCAGTCCTTGACAAGGAAACGTGTCTGAAGCTGTCAGGAGCTTACGCTAAGCAGCCACTCTCTGGCTCTTGGACAGCAGGTCTAAAGTTTCAGTCTGTTTGTATTGGGCTGTCATGTTATGGGATTAGGGGCTGTCACGATGGCTTCTGGGTGCATTGTAGGGGGTCTGATTAATCTCACCGTGCTTCTGTGGAGCAGCACCTCTGTGCTGGTGACAGGGAGGTGTGGGCTGAGCTGCACGAGGGATTCCTGCGCCATGGAGGAACCTGTTCTCACCACGCGAGGTCTGGAGACCGATTCTGTTTGTTCTCCGTGTGATGGGCCCCGCTTGGACCATGACCTCAAGTCCAGGAGCACCATTGGGAGGGACCTCCAGCAATGTCCCCACAGTAACTCCAGTGGTGTGTGTGTCCCGCAGGCATTTCACAGGGAGCTCTTCCCGAGCCTGGGGACATGGAGCAGGGTCTGCCCGGCACTGCGGGAAGAGCCAGGCTGTGTGCAGGGTTCTTGCCTTGGGACCTCTAACCCTCCTTCGTGGGGGTGTCTCTTGGAGGTATCATAAATAAAGAGGGAAATGAGACAATGCAGCTGCTTTAGAATCAGTTTTTTGCTTTTATTTGTGATTGAATCTTGTTAATTGTTGGTGCAATGATTATGCAAGTGACTCTGTGATAGGGACCATTTAGTTCAAGGTTCTCTGTGACCTTGAAGTTAAGACCTTACCTTCTTCCTTTCTCCCCCCACTTTCTCTTACCCCTCCTTTACTAGCTGTCACATATGAATAAACTACATTAAAATAACAAACCCACACTAATTAGCTGATTGTGCTGGGAAGTGCAGAGCAGAATTTCCTGTGTGTGAGCAGCGCAGGCGAAGGAGCCTGATCAACTGATACCAGCCGGGGTGATTTTCTCCCCCAAGACTGCCACACACCAGCCTGGTGCTCCAGCACACGGGCTCCCCAGGGCTGCTGTCCTCCATACTGGTTCTTTCTGGTCCATACTGGTTCTCTTCTCTGACACCACGTGCAAAGCCCATTGAGTGAATTCCCCACCGTCCCCAGGGTTAGATGGGGGAGGATGTTCTCCCTGCTGCAGGTGCTCGGTGCAGTTCCTGCTGCTGTGGTTTTGGCAGCCAAACATCTGGGCTGGACTGGGGAGGTGAGAGCCGGCGGCGCTGCAGTCTGGAGGGGAAAGCAAGGCAGCTTTTAACAGACTTCATGTCCTGCCCCAGGCAGGAGCAAAGGCTGGTCCGTACCACATTCACCCACCTGAGATGACTGGGGTCTTGTGAGCCCAGTTCAGTCCCAGTATGAATACGCACCTCGTTCCTGAGGCCAGTGGCACCCGTTGGTACCAGCCGGCTCAGAGCTCGCTGGGGTCTCCTGGCTGGGCTTCCAGTTAGGAAACAGTCGGTGGTCCCACCTGCAGGGGATGTCACTGGCCGTGCCTGGAGGCCCGCTGGGTTGGGAGCAGCCATTGGCTGTTTGGGTTCAAGTTGTCTGATCCCACTAACGCCCTTCCTCGCTTCTTTCCCCTCTCTTTCCAGCTGAAAGAACTATATGCACTGACGCAACCTCAGGAAAACCCACAATGGCTGCCAAGCGCAAAGGCGGCCTGAAGCTAAATGCAATCTGTGCCAAGCTGAGCCGCCAGGTCGTCTTCGACCACGGGGGAGCCGAACAGGCACGGGCGGACAAGGGGCCGCAGCGGGAGAGCAGCAACAAGGACCTGCCTCAGCCTGGGACCAAGGAGCTGGGGACGGAGTTCTCAGATGGACTCAGCCGCGTGCAGAAGATCGAGGAGGACAAAAGGAGGGAGGTGATTGAGAAGTGGGTGAACGGGGAATACAACGAGGAGCCCTTGCTGGGCCGAGCAGAGGGCAAGGAATGTAAGGGTGCGGAGAGCGCGGAGGTGCCCCCCGAAGGGGTGTACATGGTGCAGCCCAAGGGCTGCAGCGACGAGGAAGATAACGGGGACGAGGCGGACGCTCTGAGGGGCTCGCAGGATGGCAACTTCTTGGATGACAGGGATTCAGACGGGCCAGCCTCGAAGGACGATGCCTACCGGTCCTCCAGCGGCGAAAAAAGCTGGGGGGAGGAACTGTCTCAGGTAAGCCCCCTGTCCCCCCACCTCCCTGCGCAGGGCAGCTTCGCAGTTGCATGTTCTCTGGAATGGACAAAGCTGTGCTGTGTGTCTGTACCAGACCCATCCGGCAGCCCGGGGGAGGGTGAAAGCCCCCATCCCCTTGCAGAGCCCCGGCATTTTGCTCTTGGGACCATGCAGAGTTTGCTTCTGCCTCAGCCCAAGAGGGGTGTTTGTCGGGGCGGACGT